TATACAGGTGCCACAAGAGTGTTAATTTATTGTACAGGCCTCCTTAATTTGGTTTTATATGTCTAGAGCCATATATTATTGACAAGCCCACAAAATTAACTTCTACCTGGAAGTTTCCTTAAGGAACCTCAGGTTGGGCTTTTAAAAGCCTCTTTAATTTGCTATCTTGAGTTTAGAAAAACCAAGCCAAAGAAACTCTTTCCACAGATTTCACCTAAGTACCTACAGATTTGGGTGAATTGCTTTCTTCCCAAGCACCCCATAATTTCCTAAATTTCCTGGCCTGCCAGGAGGTGATGTTTCCCACCTCCTGCAAAGCTTGGACCCTGTAAGCCAGGTCCTAGGCAAGTGTCCTGAGAATACATGTAGGCATTAGTCCATCATACGGGATTAAAGGAGCATCATTCTCAAAAATGACATTCTGTGCCAAGCTTTGGTTAGATAAACATTTTTTCCATTATATCCTGGTAAAAAGGGAGACAAACTCTTACTGAACCTAAGCAAGTAATATACTGCCATGAAAAGTAAGGGGGCTTGGTAAGAATTTCTGAATTCTTGACTGAGTATGTGGGTCAGTGAGAATCAGATATCACCTATAAAGGTTTATTTCAGTTTAAAAAAGCAGAATCTGGGGCCAGCTCCATGGCCGAGTGGTGAAGTTCATGCGCTCCGCTGCAGCGGCCCAGGGTTTGGTTCCTGGGCGCAGACATGGCACCACTTATCAGGCCACGTTGAGGCGGCGTCCCACATCCCACAACTAGAGGGACCTGCAGCTAAGATATATAACTGTGTACAGGGGGGGTTTGGGGAGACAAAGCAGAAAAAAAAAAAGATTGGCGACAGTTGTTAGCCCAGGTGCCAATCTTTGAAATAAATAAATAAATAAATAAATAAAATAAATTAAAAAAGCAGAATCTAGTAATTTGTTATGGATTATAGCAACTTTAAGAAGAAATAAAAAGCCTTCTTTAAATATTCAGAATTGGGCATTCAAACAACATCAACACTAAGATAGAACATTAAAACAATATTGCAAATAAATAACCACAGAATTCCCTTATCAGTTCATTTGTCCTACACAACTAATTCTTGTTCTGGTGGATCTTGAGTTAACAGTCCAATGAAGCTGTCTGTTTTTTGACTAAAAAGAGTTGTGTAAATCTTGACTCCGTCCTCCGGTTTGGTACGAAAGTTGTCTAAGTGATGGAAAGTGTCAATAGCTGGAAGTTTCTGGTACAGTCTGTTTTACGAGGTTCTGAGACTGTCCTTCTTTATTGAAGACACAAATTCTGGCCTATAATTTAAGGCAGAGCCTTCAGGCAAGCATTAGAGTAAACTAAAAACTCTCATCCAGCCTCATGACTCACATACCTAGTCATACGTTGATGTCTCCCAAATTTAGATCTCCAGCTCAGACTCTTCTGAACTCTAAACGCCTATTCACTATATTCAGCTGCCATTTGACATCTCTACTTGTCATTTTCATGGACATGTTGAACTTAACATCAACACAGGGTTGGATGGGGTGGGAGAACACCTCAAGGATATGCACCAAAATGTAAATAACAGTCTCAGTGAGGGTCTTGTATGTGTTTCTCTATACCATTATGCAAAACTTCTGTAATGAGAATTAACACTTTTAACAAAGGTCTTTATTTTGAAATATTTATTGATGTATAGGAATTCACAAAGACAATACACTGAGGGCCCACACCATGTACCCTTCACCTGGTTTTCCCCAGTGGTTACATTGTACTTAACTATAGTACATTGACATTAGTAGAGTGCTGTGTGTGTGTGTGTCTATGTAGTTCTGTGTCATTTTATTTCTAGTAGATTCATGCAACCACCACTGCAATCAAGATACAGAACTATTTCATCACCACAAAGATCCCCGCTGTGGTTTCTCTTTACAGTCAGACTTGTATCCCTATCGCCATCATCCTAACCACTGGCAACTGCTATTATGTTTTCCACGTTATACAAATGTTATGTAAATAGAGTCATACAGGACATGACCATTTAACATGATTTCCTTCTGTGACACCAAGCAGTTAGCTGTTACTTGAAGTGTTTTAAGTACATATGTCAGAATACATAATTATTTTTAAACAGTTCTCCCCAAAACTTTTACCTTTTGTGATTTATCTTTTTCGTATCTATTTAGTTTACCTGTTTCCAACAATTATTTAGATTGTCTATAAAAACTTCATGAGACATCAGACCAAATCAGCTATTTTAAGTTATTATTTTTACCAACAAATTTTCTAACAGAGATAATAAGAGTTTATTTGACTTATAAAGGCTGTATGTTTACATCATATCCAATGTTGATATCTCTGAGGACATGTCTGTTTCAATTAAACCAACAAACTTAAACAAGTTTTATTTACTAGCGATCACTTTACATCATGCTAACTTGAAAGACATCTGGGCTAGTTTTTATTACCTTTAGAAAAAATTTACATAAGCCCTTATTTTAAGTCCATTAAATAGAACTCTCTTTAAAAATTATGTCATCCAGACACACATACAATGACATGTAGACAAACACAAATAAAAACCTTTAAAATTGGACCATGCTTTAGGGACAAAACTCAAAAGAATCTGGATCCAAATTGGGACCTGTTTAGATGGCTAAAGATTTTCATTCGAGATTTTTTTCTCTGTATTTTGCTGTAAGGATCCTTTTTACAGCTGTTTTTAAAGTCATGTTATCTTTTAGAAGCTTCCGTATATTCATCAAAGAATGCATTCCACTGTGAGAGGTTTTGAATCCTCTTCTTTTTTTCCCAAGGGTCACCCTTAAGGTGGATGTATCTGAAACAACGGTTCCCCAAAATGGCCACTGTCATTGTAAGATATTTTAAAAGTTGACTTATTTTCACTTGCTTGACTTTAGATCTGAAATTTTGGGGAAGTTGAAGTTGGTGAGCTCAGAAAGAGAGGAAGGAGGAGCAGCAGACTTGGTTTAATTTCACTAGTGTGTTTGCTTATTTAATTATTTTTTCTTAAAGAGGCAGCATGGGATTTCTGACCAAGTTTAGAAGTCTCAAAAACTAAAACAGTCTTCCCATTGGTTGTTTAATTTTTTTTTATAGCCACTCTTTTTACAATTACATATGTAAATAGACCAGTTTGGGTAAACTGAAATTGTCCCCTTTGGGCCATTTTAAAGTTAAATCTCTTTTAGCGTGTTTAATTAACATTGTCTGAAGGGTGGATTTATATGCTCTCATAATCCCAAAAATATAATTTAAAATATAATTAGGCAAAACAGATGTAATCATTTTACAGAAAGTCCATCACTTCCAGCCAGTTTGTTGGAAAAGCGTAACGCAAGGACAAAAACAAAAGCCTGCCAGATCCATTATCCACTACAGAAAAATCAGACCAAGTGCTCAGAAGCCAAGTACCTTGGCACTGCCGTGCACGAGTTCTGTTACTTACCAAAGATGTCTTTTCATATGCCCAAACCTAATTTCTTTCACCACCAAAAGCAAAAGCTACCTCCTGAGGGTGGATGACTAAGGAGACTAAATTACCCCAAGCAGATTTTAGGAGGAAATCTGGGAGAGGTCAATGGAAATTCTCTAGCAGAAAGTGTGAGGGAAAGAAAAACAGGGGGCGTTGAGTTTTCCCCAATGACCGCTTGTAAAGAAACTGAGGAACAGAGAGAGATCTGAGAGGCCTAGAGCCAGTTTGCTAAGGAAACAGAGAAAGAAACCATGATAAATATTCTGTCACTTTAAGGCAAAGCCTCTGTTTGGCATGGCTGACCAGCACCCACACAGATCACAAACATTCTGAACTCAGCCCGCGGGGACCGAACCCTGCCTTTTTCCACAACTGCAAAACAAGACTCAGAGATGGACTCTGTAACTTCTGAGAGAATTAACTCCAGCCACAGGGGATCAGCTCCTTCTGTTACAGACACTACAGAAACATAAAGACTCAGTGGCTCCCAGGGAGGACTGGAACCCACCCCTTGTAGCTTTCACAACACAAACACAACAGGGCTGTAAGAAGTTCATCAAGCCCCAGCAGTGACAAACTCAAATGGGCCTCAAGCCCTCACTGCTCAATAACTAGTCAACAGGGATTGCTCCTCTGCCAGAGCCAAGCATCAGCTCTTCCAGTGGTCGGTCATGTAATCCTTCCAACCAGCCAGGGACTCTCACTCCCCTGAGCCAGGCTACCTCCAGAGGGGATCTGAACCCAAAACCCAGACTCCAAGAAGTGAACTTTGGGACTCGAACCCAAGGCTAGGGCACCCTTTAACCCAAGGATCAGGGAACCTGACTTTGTGAGACAACTTAAAGAAATAACTTATCTTTGTACTACGGGGTTGGCGCCACTTACATCCATTGAGAGATCCTCTGAGCAAAATGCTCACTGTGGCCACTGAGTCTCCTAATGGGGAAGTGACGTCAAACCAACAGCACCAACACCAAGAAGCAAGTCCCCGGCAGGCTCACCCCTCAACCTCCAGTAGCATAAGCAACATGTTGGAAAAATAGAGCCTCAGAGGGACTGGGTCCCATCTGGTTCACCAATTTGTTACCAGACCAAACCTGAGTCCCCTTCTTGGTGTGTTACCCAAACTACACCAAAAGGAGTTGTCACACAAGGCAGAAAATTTGCAGCTTGCAGCAAAGCAAATGGAGAACTTTGGGAATAATTTCACAAAGCTATGGCTCCCCTAGCAAAGGGAGGTGGGTGCCTTTATTTGGGGTAAGGAATGAATATTCAAAGGGGAAGTTTCATCATCACATGTAGAGGTGGGCATACGTTTGCACACGCATGGTTTGGAATCATGCTTTCTGTGTTTTGTTTTGTTTTTATAGATTGACACCTGAGCTAACATCTGTTGCCAATCTTCTTTGTTTTTCTTTTCTTCTCCCCAAAGCCCCCCGGTACATAGTTGTATATTCTAGTTGTAAGTCTTTCTGGCTCTGCTATGTGGGACGCTACCTCAGAATGGCTTGATGAGAGATGCCATGTCCTCGCCTAGGATCCGAACCAGTAAAACCCTGGTCCGCCAAAGCAGAGGGCACAAACTTAACCACTCGGCCAAAGGGCCAGCCCCTGAAATCACGCTTTTATATAAATAGCATGATCTAAAAAGCGCTACTTCGCCCCTCCCAGAGGAGGAGAATTTAGGATGTTAATGAGGGCAGTTTATTTTAGTACAATTCTCTGTCTGCACAGTTGTCATTCTTGTGGTTGAGGTCTGGACTGGTTCAGAGTGGATGGGTCTAGGGCTGTTGGCACTTAGAGCTTCTTCCTGGAGCATAGCTGAAACCACAAAGCTCAAGACTCCAAAGTCATTAGAGAAGGGAATATCAGTAGCTTTCAAAAAGACAAGAGAATTAGGTCAAACACAAAAAAAGGTTAGACTTTAGGCAAGACAAGGGAAGTGGGTTAGAGTCCGTGGCTGGTGACATGTCGAGTAGCAAAGAGAAGGAAATCAAGAGGAAATATAATGAAGGCCTAACAAGGAAGTGGCGACTATGAACAGAAGCTGAGATTGATACAGAGCAAGGGCTCGATCTACACTCCCCGAGATAAAAGGTCAAGCAGGCGATGGTAGAGAAAGAACTTTAATAAGCGATAAACTAGCAAATTGGCAGAGAGCTGACTATCATCCTAAAAAACACCCGTCTTAAAAGGGAGCTGATTTGGAAATGACTTATATAAAGCAAATGGAGTTGGGGAGGGGGCTCAGAAATGTCAGGCGATGGATGACCACAGAAAGTTGGGTGCCTCACCGTAGCAGATCTCCTGAATGCAACATTCCTGAGCAACCTAAGAAAACCTCAGTGCCTTTCTTATCTCGGACAGAGGGAACAGTTTGAGCAGAGGACACAAATTTTCTACTAACAAGCTATTCTTTCTACCAGTTACAGATCAGCTTGCCAATATGCAGTTTAAACAGTTTTTCCAAAGCGTATCTTGAGAATAAGATGAGGGGAACATATGGCCTTGGGGGGCTGAAGTACTAAGAGTCCTCTGCGTAGGGGCAGCTGTCCTTCATACGTCTTCACAGGAGACCTGTCCAAATTCCAAAGGGTTCCACGTGTTGCCTGTGGTGGATCTTTAGTCTACGACATGTGAAGCTTACAATCGGTCATTATAGCTTCTCAATGCTCCTGCATGAGGCTTAGTCAGGTGGAGGGCTGTCAGGAAGCTACTGTCTTATCAGTGGTCCTCCTGGTATTCTTCCAGGCAAGCTCAGAAACTTTGGTTACTCTGTTTCCCATGTTAACCTTGTGGGTACAGGTTTCATCTGAATCCAGGGAAATTTGAAGTCTTTCATCCTCAGTTTCAAGACTAGTTAATGGGGGCTGATATTGATGAGAAAGTAGACAGGAGGTGATCATAAGGCAAGGGACAGAGCAGACTCATGTGACGGAAGAGGCCTTCATCTGCCAGAAGCTAGCCCTTCCATCCTCATCTCATCTAAGATACCAGTTACAGATCAGCTTGCCAATATGCAGTTTAAACAGTTTTTCCTGTCATCACTTTGCCTTTCCTTCCTCTTTCCTGCATTCACATACAACCTCATCTCAGTGCTTAGCTACTTCTCTGAGAAGCAGATAGTCACACAAGATATGTGGTCTCAAGGCCTTTCATACTCCCCTTGGCCTGTGACACAGCCTTACAACAAATTGCACAAAAGTGAAGAAATTATTTTATCTTTTTCTGTATTCTCAAAGGATGAAAGCATTAAAGTCCAAGAGACATAAGGCTGGCCTTTGTGTATTATCTACTGCTTTAGGGGACTCAGAACTGAGCTCTCAGGAATGTGAGAGCATCATCTCAAGACACTAGAGAAGCTACTGTAGCAAGTTCAATGGCCTAAGTCACATCCTGGGGATATCCATGGATACATGGTAGGCCTTGTGCTCCAACTCTTGGACAAGAACTGTTTAGAAAACAATGGAGCAAAAGAAGAATTGGCACCAGAAAGTTCTGATGGGAAAGTGGGGAGGAGAAGGATGTGGTTCTTCCTTTCTTGTCTGCTACTACCTAAGGGCTGAGGCACACGACCCACCAAGGGGCCAAAGCAGGTAGCAGCTACCTAGATCCCATAAGGGAGAAGCCAGACCACTCCAGGCCCGGTTAATTGGCACAGCCAGGCTGTGGAATGCCAGCCATAAGGATGGAGACAAACTTTTCCAGTTTCTGTGCCGCCTGTCTCCCGGCCTCTAGGACTTCCTCGTGATTGGCCTTCTCCAGGCTTTCATAATCCATAACGACCTTGTTAGTGATGAGGGAGAAGCCAAAGACTCGAAGTCCACAGTGCCTTGCAACTATAACTTCTGGAACTGTGCTCGAGCCTGATGGGGAGAAAGAAGGACACCAACTCTCAGGATCCTCAAGTGACTCTTTTCCTCATCCTTTGGCCTAACCGCTATTCATCACCTCACTGACAATTTAACATCTCAAAAAAAATCCAAAGAAACAGCTAAATTAGAGTTGAGCTTAGGTTGTTCTGTACTGTTTAAAGGAGTGGAGCCTCAGAGGGCCTTACACTTTTCTTATAAATATTACCATTGCAATACTTTATTTCTGTATCTGTCTGTGACAAAATATCGTTTGTTTCTTTTTGCTGAGGAAGATTCACCCTAAGCTAACATCTGTTGCCAATCTTCCTCTTTTTTGCTTGAAGAAGATTTGCCCTGAACTAACATTCATGCCAATCTTCTTCTATTTTGTATTTGGGTTACTGCAATGTCATGGCTGTCAACGAATGTGTAGGGGCCTACCTGGGCCGCTGAAGTGGAGAGCACTGATCTAAACCACTAGGCAATGGAGCCAGCCCTTGTCTATGGCAATTTTGAAGTCAGTTTTAATCATGCAGTTCTGTCTTCTAGCCAAGGTACAGAAGGTGGCTATGATGATATTTGTGAGAATAATCCTTAGAAACAGTTATCAAATCCTGGATAAGTTAGAAGCATTACAGCTGTTAAAGCCTTTGATGCTGGGTGGGGAGGTTTGATGGGACAACACACCAAACCTCACTACCTTAGTACCTTTCTAGAAGTCAATTTCATTCAGTCTTCCTTTAAGTCAGATCCTCTCTCAATCCACCATCAGCTCTACAATCTCCTACTTCTTGCCATCCTTATTCTACCAGATCCCTCCCTCTTCAAGCCTAGAGCCACATGCCCCTTCTCACCAACAGCATCCGCCCCCAGCTTCTGCAGCAGACGACACTCGGCCACAGTCTCAAAGTTGGGGCCTGCCACCATCACATAAGTGCCTTCCTGTAGCTCTCTCTTCTCCCCCATTTGTTTCCAGGCAATGTGAGCCTTCTGCCTCATATCCCGGTCGTAGGCATCAGACATGGCAGGGAAACGAACTCCAAACCTAGGGCACAGGTTGGATTATCTCAGATTAATGGAATACAATGAGATTTCTCTTAAGTTCCAGGCAACTCCTTACAACCCATCCATCTATAACCAAAGGAGCAAGATCTGTACCTTTCATCATTGGGACCTATGAGAGGGTTCTGACCAGAGAAACCAGGCAGGTTGATGTGATCGCGGATCAGCATGATATCTCCAGCCTCAAAGCTGGAATTGAGCCCTCCAGCTGCATTGGTGACCACAAGGGTGTCCACACCTAGAAGATGGAAAACCCTCACTGGGAAGGTCACCTTCAATGCAAAAGATAAAAGATCATAAACTGTTCTTTAAAATTTCGCCAATCCACCCACACAGACCTGCATGATCTACGTCATGAAAGAGAAAGGAGGGGACCAAAAATTACCTAGACCAGGTAGCTAGGTAATAGAATAGGAGAGACGGCTCTCTCCCTTCTTCCAGATTCATCTAGGCTGATGCCCCTGATTCACCTTCCAGAGCGGGTAGCCTTCATACATGTGGAACCTGCCCTGCATCATCACACAGGCTTTGCCGTTCAGGAACCCAAACACCAGTCGACCAGCATGGCCTGGCACTGTATATAAACAAGAAAGGGAAACGAATGGGATGATGCCTTCATACAACACATATCCATGAACACCTACCGTGAGGCAACTCATTGTGCTCAACATGAGGTCATAATGAAGCAAAAGAAGACGTTATCATCTCTGCTTTCAGAAAGTTTAAGTCGAGTAGAGGAGACAGAAATTAATCATAAATTGACAAAAAATTATATAAATACATCCTGAGATTAGGAGCTATGGAGGTAAGGATGTTCAATATTCATATACCTCCAAGGAAGGGAAGGCTTTTTTTCTTTATTTAAAGATTTTATTTTGGGGGGGACTGGCCCGGTGGCACAGTGGTTAAGTTTGCACGTTCTGCTTTGGCAGCCCGGGCTTTGCCTCTTTGGATCCCGGGTGCGGACATGGCACCGCTTGGCAAGCCATGATGTGGCAGGCGTCCCACATATAAAGTGGAGAAAGATGAGCACGGATGTTAGTGCATCGCCGGTCTTCCTCAGCAAAAAGAGGAGGATTGGCAGGAGTTAGCTCAGGGCTAATCTTCCTCAAAAAAAAAAAAAAAGATTTTATTTTTCCTTTTTCTCCCCAAAGCCCCTGGGTACATAGTTGTGTATTTTTAGTAGTGGGTCCTTCTGGTTGTGGCATGTGGGATGCCGCCCTCAGCATGGCTTGATGAGCGGTGCCATGTCTGTGCCCAGGATTCAAACTGGTGAAATGCTGGGCTGCTAAAGTGGAGCATGCAAACTTAACCACTCAGCCATGGGGCCGGCCCCGGGAAAGCTTTTTAAAGAAATTTCAAAAGAATGAGAAAGCTATAATGTGAGAGAATAGGAGTGAAAAATAGAATAAAGGGGTAACAATGAATACAGTGAATGCAGTAATTATAGAACTCTTTTCCAAATTTTCAAAATTCTCAAAGTGTACATTCTTACTTATTACCCTAACTATATGCTTCCTCACTCCTGACAGGGAACTCAAGGCATATTCTAGCTTTCTAAAGAGGCTACCGAACAAGGGGAAATGGGCAGAGTTTGGATCCATACAAGTCTCCTCCATTAGACCCACAAAACAGTCTTGTGGGAGCACATGCCCAGGATGGGGCAGCAGGGGATGGGAGTGCAAAGATAACTCCCACCCAGACCTCATAACCATGATTACCATTTCCCTTATTTGGCATGTCACCTCTAATGGACATGGCCAACGTATTCCTTAGAGCATGGATGGTCTGAGAGAGGGACCAAAACTAAGCGGAAGAGTTGATGGAGACACAAAGATATAGGAGCTTATTTAAAAAAAAAAAATACCAGTAAAAGAGCAGAAGTGATAGAGATTGAAAACTCAAGTGGAGTATAAAAAACAGGTTGATAAAATTTAAAAATTAATCCACTTATCATTAAGTGCAATCCCCTTCTCACTGGGGGTATGAGTGGCAGGTAGAGCCAATGCCACTACTATCTCCCTTAGAAAACTTTGCCCTTCCTCTCTCTTTTTAATTTTTCCTTCTCCATCCCCCATTCCAACTTCCCACTCTAGTCCCCCAGTCTTGCTGCAAAAGACTTCAAAAATATCTGTGAAAAGTCATAACCCTCCAGGGAAAAGAAGGTAGGAAGTTAAAAAATTTATAAGTAAGCCAAGAGAAGTTAGTGTTCTGAGAAATTAATCAGTAAACCAAACAAACTATCTTTGTCCCTATTTCACCTGGCCCTTTCTAAGCCTTAGCCTTAGAAATTTCTGGCTGCTATTAGGATGCTGGATACACTATCCTCCAATCCCTCAGAGCTCCATTGTGCACAGTGGACATCTGCTTCTTCCCCCCTCCAAAGGTCAGTGTGAATCAGGTCCTGTGTATTCACATATTTTCTGTGTATTTGTCTGCAAGAACATGGCAGCCTGCTCATTTGTTGCTTTGCACCAGCATGTACCTTATCCTAAGACTGGAGCTAGCGCTGGGAGATTGGGAATGGCAGGAAGACACAGAACAGGGATGGCCTGATCTTGGCCTGGGTGGTTACAGGTACTTATTTTTCCATTAATGCTGCAGACTGAAAGAAATGAGAGAGGGGTGTGTGTGTGACTCTGTGGTGACCATGGTATATGGGGGAGCATTGGGCGAGGTGTTGAAGAGCTTTAAGGAGCTCTGAATTATTCAAGCCTAGGAAACACGTCATCATATAGTATCCCAACAAAGACATATGTGTTTATTCTGAAATTCCTAACACGGAACTTTCCTTCTAAAGTCATTCTGATTCCTGTGGTCTTTTCTCCTCCATCACAACAGTTGTCTCCAGTCAAATGCCATAGAGGATAACCAGGTCCAGGCATGGAAGCATTGCCCTTCCATCAGAATCCCATCAACATCCCCCAGTGCCATCCCTCCCTCCCCTGGCCAGTACCTGTACTCCGGGGAAAGTTTGGTATCTCACTGTAGTCAAAGCTCTGGGCCTGAGTTAACTGATTAGTCAGACCTCCTAACCCAGAACCGCAGATCACCGCCACTTGAGGGCGGTGCTTGGTGTGGGACAGAAGCCACTGTGCGGTGGTCTGATAATCTTCATATGTGAACCTAGGAGAAAGGGAAAATCAAGGTGAGTTTCGCTCCCATCCCAAGGGTGTCACAGAGTAATGACCCTCAGTGTACAGAGGCTGGGAGATGTACCAAGGTGACAGGGGACAGAGTAGCTGGCCAAAGAACTGCCCCAGAGGAGATGCCACATTAAGCTCACCCACCCACTCACTCCTCTTTCTGAGTCAGATTTGCTAAAATTCTGACATGAAATGCACTCCTCATTCCTGGCAAAAGTTAATGATTTCTATGTCTCCACCACCAGCCCCAACTCCAGTTCTGCTACCACTGGCAGGTTTAATAGCTCTCCTTATTACAAAGATTTAGAGGAAGGGATCATCGAGCCTACAAAGAAAAACAGTGAAATAACCAAATCAAGGAGGGTAAAAGTGCTGGGCCTAACGAGTGATGACAGCATCATGACAGAGTGAGCTCTCCTGGTGAACTTTCCCTCTATAATACCATGAAAACAACATTCATATTCCAACAAAGGACATCCACACAGTATAAAAGACATCTGAGACACCCATGCAGCCATATGTCAGAAGGTGGAATGGGATAAGAGAAAGCTTCACTCCCTCACCAAAGGACAGTGATCCAGGGATTGTGCATGGCCAAAGAGAGGAAAGAGGCTTGGGGCACCCTTTCATGGGAACATCATAGATCCCCAAGGTCCCTCACAGTCCAGGGGAAAACCCCCTACAGAGTTAACTAGCCATCATGGGAGTGACTTCATCAAGTCAACCTCCTAGGAGAGCAGATAGCAAGGGCAGAGCAAGAAGCCCCAGAGAGTATGCAGAAGAAAGAAAACACCCCTCCCCTCTGCCCAGCACCTGAGTCCAGCACCTGCCATCCCAGCAGAAACGAGAAGGCTCAGAATATGCAGCTCTTGACCTCCACCCAGTGGCAATAGGTGGAAATGGCAATCAAATAATACCACAATGCAGAAGAACAAAGCCACGTTGTTTAACAGTATGAAAAAATACATTAAATATCCAGACCAGAAGAAAAATGACAAGTACCCAGACAACAATCCTGAAGAGACAGAAATATATAATCTAAGTGACAGAAAATTCAAAATAGCTATCATTAAAAAACTCAAGTTAAAAGAGAATGCACAGACAATTCAATGAGTTCAGGAGCTACTTTGCAAAAGAGATTGAAAGTATAAAGAAGAAATAATCTGAAATATCGGAGATGAAAAACACAACCAATGAGGGGCTGGCCCAGTGGCACAACTGTTAAGTGCACATGTTCTGCTTCAGTGGCCCGGGGTTCACCGGTTTGGATCCCGGGTGCATACATGGCACTGCTTGGCAAGCCATGCTGTGGTAGGCGTCCCACATATAAAGTAGAGGAAGATGGGCACAGATGTTAGCTCAGGGCCAGTCTTCCTCAGAGAAAAGAGGAGGATTGGCAGCAGATGTTAGCTCAGGGCTAAACTTCCTCAAAAAAAAATAAGACACAATGGATGAGATACAATAAAATATGGATTCCGTGAATGCTAGAGTTGATATCATGGAGGAATGAATAAGCAACATTGAGGACAGAAATATAGAATTGCTCTAGATGGAGGAGGAGAGAGAACTAAGATTAAAAAGAAATGAAGAAAGTCTCCAAGAAATATTCGACTCAATTAGGAAATGCAACATAAGAATTATAGGTATACAAGAAGGAGAAGAGAAGGAAAATGGAGCAGAAAGCTTGTTCAAAGAAATAATGGCAGAGAATTTCCCTGGGGAAGGAGATAGAAATCTACGTGGAAGAGACTGAGATCTCCTAACTATGTCAATGTAAAAAGACCTACTGCAAGGCATATAGTAGTCAAGCTGGCAAAGTCAATGACAAAGAAAAAATACTAAGGGCAGCAAGGCAGAAAACAATAACTTACAAAGGAACCCTTACTGGGCTTTCAGCAGATTTCTCAGCAGAAACCTCACAGGCTAGGAGAGAGTGGAATGATGTATTCAAATATTTGAAAGATGGAAAGTTTCAGCCAAAAACTCTATCCAGCGAAAATATCCTTCAGATATGAAGAAGAAATACAAGCTTCCCCAGACAAACAAAAGCTAAGGGAGTTCATAGCCACAAGACCCCCCCACACACACACACACAAGAAATCATCAAGAAGGCCCTCATACCTGCAAAAAGAGAGGGAAGAAAGGGGTTACAAAGCCCAGAGTAAGGAGATACATAGGTAGACAAAATCAGTAAATTGTAGCTATCCATCAGAACAGGTTAGTAAATATTCAAGATAACATTAAAGATAAAGGGAAGGAAAACACCAAAAACAAAGATAATCTTGTGATTTTAACCACAAGCTCACAACACAAGGTGGAATAAGATGTGACAAAAACAACATAGGAGGGGATGAGGAAAGGGACTGAATTGGTTTAGTATAAGGAAAAAAGAGGTCATCAGAAAATGGTCTAGCATATCTACGAGATTTTGCATACAAATCTCATGTTAACCACTAAACAAAAAAACAGAACAGAGACACAAAGAATAAATAAGCAGAACACTAAGAAATCTAGCATAAAAAACCACATGACTGAATTGGTAGTCTGAAATACAAGGAATAAGAAACAAAGGAAATGCAGGAGAACCAGAAAATGAGCAATAAAGTAGCAGCATTAAGCCCTCATTTATCAATAATCACTTTAAATGTAAATGAACTGAATTCCCCAATAAAAAGACACCAAGTGGTGAGATGGATTAAAAAACAAGACACAACAATATGCTGCCTCCAGGAAACACATCTTAGCTCCAATGACAAACATGGGCTCAGAGTGAAGAGTTGGAAGATGATACTCCAAGCTAATGACAAACAAAAGAAAGCTGGTGTTATAATACTTATAGCTGACAAAGTAGACTTCAAGATAAGACAGGTAAAGAAAGACAAAGAGGGACAGTATATAATGATCAAAGGGACACTCCACCAAGAAGACATAACACTTATAAATACCCATGCACCAAACACAGGAGCACCAAAGTACATTAAGCAACTATTAACAAACCTAAAGGAGTCATTAACAATAACACAGTAATAGTAGGGGACCTCAACACTCCACTCATGTCAATGGACAGCAGAAAGTCAACAAGGAAACAGTAGAATTAAGTGAAAAACTAGAACAGATGGACTTAATAGATGTATATAGAATACTCCATCTAAAAACAACAGAATATACATTCTTCTCAAGTGCACAGGGAACATTCTAAAGCATAGACCATATGTTGGGAAACAAGGCAAGCTTCAATAAATTTAACAAGATGGAAATAAGAACAAGCATCTTTTCCAACCACAATACTATGAAGCTAGAAATTAACCACAAGATAAAAGCTGAGAAAGGGATAAAGATGTGGAGCCTAAACAACATGCTACTGAACAATCAATGGATCATTGAAGAAATTAAGGAGAAATCAAAAACTATCTGAAGACAAATGAAAATGAAAACATATCATACCAACTCATATGGGATGCAGCAAAAGTGGTACTAAGAGGGAAATTAATCACAATACAGGGTCACCTTAATAAACAAGAAAAATCCCAAGTAAGCAATCTCAAACTACACCTAACTGAATTAGAAAAAGAAGAACAAACAAAACCCCAAATCAGCAGAAGGAGGGAAATTATAAACATCAGAGCAGAAATAAATGCAATTGAAACAAAAAAGGCAGTAGAAAGGATCAATGAAACAAAGAACTGGTTCATTGAGAAGATAAACAAAATTGAAAAACCCCCAGCGAGACTTACAAAGAAAAAAAGAGAGAGAGCTCAGATAAACGAAATTAGAAATGAAAGAGGAGAAATTACAATGGATACCACAGAAATACAAAGTATTATAAGAGAATACTACGAAAAGCTATATGCAACAAATTGGACAATCTAGAAGAAATGGATAAATTCTTAGACTCTTACAACCTCTCAAAGCTGAATCAGGAAGAAACAGAGAATCCGAATAGACCAATCACAAGTAAAGAGATTGAAACAGTAATCAAAAACATGCCAAAAAATAAAAGTCCAGGACCAGATGGCTTCCCTGGAGAATTCTACCAAACAATCAAAGAGGATTTAATACCTTTCCTTCTCAAGCTATTCCAAAAAATGCTTCCTAACACATTCTACAAGGCCAAAATCACTGATACCAAAGCCTGATAAGGACAGCACAAAAAAGGAAAACTACAGGCCAATATTGCTGATGAACATAGATGCAAGAATCCTCAACAAAATATTGGCAACCCAAATGCAGCAATACATCAAAAAGATCATAGACCATGATCAAGCGGGATTTATACCAGGGACACAGGGATGGCTCAACACCTACAAATCAATCAATATGATACACCATATTAACAAAATGAGGAATAAGAACCACATGATCGGGAGAGGGGCGGAGCAAAATGGTGGGGTGAGCTGACCCGGGATTCTCTCCCCTCCAAAATACAACAAAGGATTGGAAAAACTGAATTTCAGAGAATAAATCTAATGCCAACACGTTAGAGACCTACAATACCAAGAAGGCGGAGAACAGAGACCTTGCTGACAGCCTCGGAGGAGCTGGAATGGGGTAGGAGAGAACGTCGCTCCTTCCCCTAGAGTCTGCGATCCCTGCTGCGTGGGTCGGGAAGGAGCGGGGGAACGGCCGCGCGACTGGGGGATCATCGAGGACTCCTGCCGCTGGTTCAGTGGAAACCCGCTGACAGTGGAAAGCTTCCGTGCGTGGGGACCCCATAAACCCAGGGCCTCAGGAGACCAGAGAACAGAACTGATCTGAATCCAGATCTCTGCGTGAGAAAAGCAGCCCCTCCCTCACGGAAAAGCGCACTGGGCACCGCCATCTTGCCCGAAGGCAGAGAGCTCAGAACACGCTGCTCTCGAATCGCCATCTACTGGCGACAGGCGGTAACTGCAACCGAATTCTATCACTATGCGAAAAAACCGCTCCTCTACCATCCAGCAATTTATAAAAGCCCCAGACCAGAAGGAAAACAATAGAAAC